CGCATTGCCCTATTTGCCTCCTGTTGATTGAGGTCATGCCCCTGTGTTCGTTCTTAACTTTGTAGTAAAACCGCTGCCCTCCTGATCCATATTCATACCCTAATGCAGACTCTCAACCTTTTCAACACTGAGAAACCCTTGAAATAGCTTTCCTGTCTCAAGGAACCCCTGGTAAATATGACTTAATTTACAACTCACGATACATCAGTGGAAAGAATGCTCCTTACACTTGTTGTCATTGGGAAGAGTTGCCCCTTTAGAGGTAGCTAAAAAAAAAAAAATCAATGGTTTCAGTGGGAACATATCTGAGGTACAGAAACTTCTCACTGCTCAAGGAACCCCTAGCAACCTTTGGAGGAACCCTAGCTGAGAAACCCTACCCTAAATGTATTCAGAGGTTTCAGTCAGTTTCCCACTTTCCCTTTCCTTTCAAGATGTTCATATTAAGTTCCCCCATCTCTCCTGAATAGGTTTCCCTATTGTAAGATTTCCCTTCACCTTATAGTCTCATGACACCTTACAATTTTAGATTTACAAAAAAGGATGTGTAATCTTCCCCGAATGGAAACAAATAAAAACACCTGGCACAGGTTCTAACCATTTTCTACTCTATCAAAAAGAGTTTGCATACTCTTGGAGAATTAGCAATATGCCATATGTACCATTTTAAAGAAAACATGAGTGAGCAGACAAAAACACATTTTTTTTTTTTGTATTTCTCATGGGAATGGCATAGTCATAAAACATGGCAACAAGTAAATAAATTAAATGAAGCTTGGTCAAAAGTCTGCATACCCTTTGTTCTTAATACCGTGTATTGCCCCCTTTAGCATCAATGACAACGTGCAGTCTTTTATAATACTTGTCTAGGAGACCCCAAATTATTGCTGGTGGTACAGCTGGCCATTCGTCTTGGCAAAAATGCCTCCAGGTCATGCAAAGTCTTTAGCCACCTTTCATGATCGCATGTCTGAGATCCACCCAGAGTGGCTCAATGATATTAAAGTCTGGAGACTGTGATGGCCACCCCAAAACCTTCACCTTTTTCTGCTGTAACCACTGGAGGGACAACTTGGCCTTTTGCTTAGAGTCATTGTAGTGCTGGAGTCAAAGTCCAAGAGCATCCAATGTGCAGCTTCCATGCAGAAGAATGCAAAATTGCCTGCCAATATTTTCTAAAAACATGCTGCATTCGTCTTGCCATCAATTTTCACAAGATTCCCCATGCTTTTAGAACCCACTCCAACCTCCCCAGTGTGCCACCACCATTTACAGTGGAGATGGTATTCTTGTCACTATCGTTGACCCTTCTCCAAACATAGCGCTTATGGTTGTGACGATAAAGCTATATTTTGCTCTTGTCACTCCAGCAAACAACGTGCCAGAACCTGTGAGGCGTGTCAAGGTGCTGTCAGGCATATTGCAATTGGGATTATCATGGCATTAGCGCTGTAAAGGCGTCTGTGGCAACTTGACCATGCAGATCATTTTTGTTCAAGTATCATTGTATTGTGCTCCTTGAAAACCACCATCTTTTTTCCAGAGCAGCCTACAGTTGCAAGAAAAAGTATGTGTACCCCTTGGGATTACGTGGAGTTTTGCATGAATTGGGCATAAAATGTGCTCTGAACGTCATCTAAGTCACAACAATAGAAGAACACAGTCTGCTGAACATAATACTACACAAACATTAGATGTTGCTATGGTTTAATTGCACATAACGTGTAAACATTCACAGTGCAGGGAGGAAAAAGTATGTGAGGCTCTAGCTTAATGACTTCGCCCAGAGCTAATTGGAGCCAGGAGTGAGCCAACCTTGACTCCAATCAGTGTGATGATATTGGATGTGTTGCTGACAACTGTCCTGCCCTTAAAAAACACACACCTGTTTTGGGTTTACTGGTTTCAAGAAGCACTGTCTGATGTGAACCATGCCTCGCAGAAAAAGAGCTCTCAGAAGACCTACTGTCAGGAATGGACTGGCCAGCAATGGTGGGACTCACCTGCCTTTTGATCTGCAGTACCAGGGCTGGCCAGCGGGTGCTCCCAGCAATCAGAGACTCAACCTTTCAGCCAGCTAACACCTGGAACTGATGATACTGGTGTATTTAAGGGATGGCCAGACTTGCAGACTCTGCCTTGGTGTTGTGTTTGTCCTGGGCCCTGTATCTGTCCTGCATCCTGTTTCTGTTCCTTTGCTACCTGTTCTGATCCCTGGCTTGTGACCCTGACCATCCCTCTGCCTGACCCTCTGTACTACGCTGCTTGCTACCTGTTCTGATCCCTGGCTTGTGACCCTGACCATCCCTCTGCCTGACCCTCTGTACTACGCTGCTTGCTACCTGCTGAACCTGGCCTGTGACCCCGACCATTCTCCGCTTGCTCCCCCTGTACCTACCTGCCCAATTGATATTGACTCGGCCTCTGCCTGACGACGCTTGCATGTACTGTTATCTGTGGGTGGTTGGTTGGGTTTGTTTGCACTGTATTATGTTTAGTATTGCACTGCGTTTATGTTTGTATTGTTAGTGTTAATAAATTACATTGTTAATCACATATCTGAACTCTGCGTTTCCCTGCTTCAGTCACACACCTCTGGTCATACCTGGGAGCCCTGACACCTACGATCAAGAATTGTTGACTTGCATGAAGCTGGAAAGGGTTACAAAAGTATCTCCAAAAGCCTTGATGTTCATGTGTCCACGGTAAGACAATGTCTACAAATGGAGAAAGTTTAGCACTGTTGCTACTCTTCCTAGGTGTGGTCGTCCTGTAAAAATGACTGCAAGAGCACAGTGCAGAATGCTGCATGAGGTAAAGAAGAATCCCAGAGTGTCAGCTAAAGAGCTACAGAAATCTCTGGCACATGCTAACATTTTTGTTGACACATCTACAATAAGGAAAACATTAAACAAGAATGGAGTACATGGGGGGACACCACGGAGGAAGCCATTGCTGTCCAAAAAGAATATTGCAGCACGTTTGAAGTTTGCAAAAGAGCACCTGGATGTTCCACAGCACTACTGGCAAAATATACTGTGGACAGATGAAACCAAGATTGAGTTGTTTGGGAAGAACACACAACACTATGTGTGGAGAAAAAAAAAGGCACAGCACACCAACATCAAAACCTCATCCCCACTGTAAAACATGGCGGAGGGAGCATCATGGTTTGGGGCTGCTTTGCTGCCTCAGGGACTGGACGGATTGTTGTCATTGATGGGAAAATGAATTCCAGAGTTTATCAAGACATTTTGCAGGAAAACGTACGTCCATCTGTCCGCCAACTGAAGCTCCGCAGAGGATGGGTGATGCAACAGTACAATGACCCAAAGCATACAAGTAATTCAACAAAACAATGGCTGCAACAGCACAGAATACGCCTTCTGGAGTGGCCCAGTCAGAGTCCTGACCTCAACCCGATTGAAATGCTGCGGCATGACCTTAAGAGAGCGATTCACACCAGACATTCCAAGAATATTGCTACACTGAAACAGTTTTGTGAAGAGGAGTGGTCCAAAATTACTCCAGATCGTTGTGCAGGTCTGATCTGCAACTACAGGAGACGTTTGGTTGAGGTTATTGCTGCCAAAGGAGGGTCAACCAGTTATTAAGTCCAAAGGTTCACATACTTTTTCCTCCCTGCACTATGAATATTTACATGTTATGTGCAATTAAACCATGGCAACATCTAATGTTTGTGTAGTATTATGTTCAGCAGACTGTGTTCTTCTATTGTTGTGACTTAGAGGACGTTCAGAGCACATTTTATGCCCAATTCATGCAAAACTCCACGTAATCCCAAGGGGTTCACATACTTTTTCTTGCAACTGTATATTTCTCCTGAGGTTACCTGTGGTTTTTTTCTCTGTATCCCGAACAATTCTTCGGCCAGTTGTGGCTGCAGTCTAAGTCTGACTTTGGCTTGGTATCAAGAGAGCCCTGAATTTTCCACTTCTTAATAAGCGATTGAACAGTACTGACAGGCATAGTCAAGGCTTTGGATATATTTCTATATCCTTTTCCATCTTTATAAAAGTTCCATTATCTTGTTATGAAGCCACCTTGTGTGTCTGTGCCAAGGCCAAAACATTCCAGGGTATGTAAACTTATCAGGGCCATTTAGGCAATTTCTGTTATTAGGATTTAAAAAAGGAGGCAAGTATAATAAATTGCTTCATATGGCCACTATCCTTAAATAAAATACTTTTTTTGGCATGAACAGACATTTTCAATATTAAACACCAAAATTTCATGATTTCTGCCAGGTTATACAAACTTTTGAGCAAAACGGTACGTGTTAATATTCTTGGTGAGGGTTTGTCAATAAGCACATCTTACCCAGGGCCTCCTTGGTGTTCACGGTGGGTGAGGGAAGGACTCTAGATGGCGTTGCTTGCACATATCCTAACGATGTGTTGGGTGTAACATGTGAAGTATTTGCTACACAACCCGATGAGTTGGCTACTGCATTAAGCATAGAGAGAAAAGAGAACATAATTAATACATAATTAATAAATCACAGGGGTACCAACGTATAAAGGAATAATTAGACAAGGTCTACCATATTACCTTCCCTTGTCGCAGGTTGTAACTTCTCCATATTGGCACTAATGTTTTGAGTCCTATGATAAAAAATTCACATTGTATGTGTTTGAAAGACAGTGGCAAAAACACTTTGGGGTTGATTAGCTAACACTGGAGCAGCTACGCATAGAAACCAATCAGCTTCCAGGTTTCATTGTCAAAGATTAATTGAACAAGTTGAAGTTAGAAGGCGATTGGCTACCATGCACAGCTGCACCATATTTTGGACTCTCCAGTTTTAGTAAATCAATCCCTTTAAGTTAACATCAAACTTACATTGTTTTTTGGGTGTCAAAAAGTGAGGCTTGTGAACGTTCCAAAACAGAGGATGGTTTAGCGAACATGCTGCCATCAGATGTTACCAGGGCTGGGTTCTGAGAATGATTCACCTCCCACTCAGCTCTTCTGCTAGCTTGGACATTTATTATTGGGTCTTCAGGCGCAGATAGCAGATGTTCAGATGGTGAAGGGTTGTACTGTGATGTGGAAATTCCTGGTGAAACTGTTTGTTGTGCCACAGCAGTCAGATCAAAGGGGGAGCGAGAACAGGGTCCTGCCACGTGTGGCTGATTTTCATTCTGGAGTGCAAACTGAATTCCTACTGGTGTCAACATGCTGAAGTTTGTTGCCATCTGTCGAGAGTTTAAGAATAAAAAAATTAAAATTAAAAGTTTGATATGGATTACAAATATAAAGCAAAAAAAAAAAAAAAAAAAAAAAAAAAAAATCAGGAATTCTATTTAAAGTATATTTAACCGTTTCAATACCGTGCAATTTTACACCTTCCTGCCCAGGCCAGTTTTCAGGTTTCAGCGCCCTCACACTTTGAATGACAATTGCGCGGTCATACAACATTGTACCCAAACTAAAATTTTATCATTTTCTTCACACAACTAGAGCTTTCTTTTGGTGGTATTTAATCACCGCTGGGGTTTTTATTTTTTGCTAAATTAACAAAAAAAGACCAAAAATTTTGAAAAAAAAAAAAAAAAACACATTTTTCTTTGTTTCTGTTATAAAAGTTTACAAATAAATAATTGTTCTTCATAAATTTAGGCCGAGATGTATTCTGCTACATGTCTTTGGTGAAAATAACCCAAATTAGGATGTATTATTAGTTTTTAGGAAAGTTATAGCGTTCACAAACTATGGTATAGATCTGAATATTGATCAATCCTGAAGTACTGACGGCCAATCTAATTTCTTGAGGTCCAAGAATGTCAGAACAGTACAGATATCCCCCAAATGACCCCTTTTTGCAGAGTAGACAGTCTGACGTACTTCATAAGAGGTATGGCGAGTTTTTTGAAGTTGTAATTTTTTGTCATAATTTTTCGGAAAAATGAAAAAAAATTAAAAAAAATTATTTTCACTATTTTTTTTTTTTTACATACTGTCACCAGTGCAGTACAGCGTCATCATATAACTGGCATGGCGGTGAACAGGGACACTGACTGGTGACAGTATGAAAAAAATATATATATAGATTTTTTTTTTATTTTTTTATTATATTTAATTTATTAAATTTTTTTTTTTTTTTTTCATATTTTACTTTGACCAAAGTAGTGCAATGCTACTTTGGGGAAGTGATCAGTATTTTTTTTTTTTTTTTTTTACACAATTTGCTTATAGCAAAGAATTACTTTGCTATAAGCAAGCATTTACCTGAATAAAATCGATTCATTCAGCTTTTTTTTTTTTTTTTTTTTGTGCTTAGCTGTGATTTGGTCACAGCTAATCACATGACATGTGCATGTGATTAGCTGTGACCATTCACAGCTAGGCACTAGTATACAATGGATGGCATCATGAATGAAGCCATCCATTGTATACAACTGTCATGTGACCTGCTGTGATTGGTCACAGCAGGTCACATGGTACCAGAAACGGGAGCCGGTACTCGGATCTGTCATCGGCCGTGTCCGAGGTGCACGGCTGCTGACAGATCGCACTGCTGCGCCGCTCTGCATTAGCGCAAACGGCGCATGTGCGGGAGCACGCCAAATGGCGTGCACCCGGAATGCAGGGACACAATTGAAGCCGCCAAACGGCCATTGGCCGGGCGGCTAATGGTTAAAGATACAAATTATATTTATATATATATATTTTTTTTTTTTTTGTGCTTTTGCTCTGGATGGAGCCAATGATGGTCCAAACCCGTTTTTTTTTTTACTCCGGCTTCATTAAAGAGATTTCCTCTTACTTTCTGCCCTGCTGACATTTTCTAGAAAGCAAGGGGAACTCTTCAAAAGGAATACAGACAGAAAAAGTTTTTTTCTAGTAAGAATAAAGTTTTACTAAACCCACAACAGTAAAATCAGTCTGTAAATGCAGTAAAGCATGCTTGTTATATACTCACTGTGGAACCTATGGGGGTTAATCCTCTGCACTGTGTAAGCACTATTATGTGGAGACACTCTGCACATGTTCAGTTTGGTGTGTATTGCTAGAGATTTTTTTTTTTTCTTGGGAGAGTGCATGTGATCAGCACAGGGTCAATCAGCACTGTCCAGACAGAGGTCAGGGGTTCTGCATCCTCCTAGAGCAGAAAAAAAAAACAAAAAAAAAAAACTTCTCCTACAAGCTTTAAACCAGTGCTCTGCTGGACACTGATAGAAGTCACAAGACTTCTCTAACTGCTGATGAGAAATGGTATTTAGCAGTTTATATTTACTAAACTAACTGCACTTCCATGTTCTGTGTACTGCTGGAGACCAGATAAAGTGAATGCAAGTTCATGGGTTTAGTAACACTAAGCCAAAACCATCATTAGCGTTTTTTGCCGGTCTGTGTTCCTGTTGCAGATTTCCTCTAAACTGATGACTGTTAAAACAGTTACCAACAAGGGCAGTAAGTGAGGAGAAATCTCTCTAAACAGAGCCCCACAAAACAAGACTTGAGCTGTCCTAAAACAGAATTAAGGGATGTCCACTACAGTGCTATGATTGTGTGTGCCACATCTCACTTTAAAATACAAGGATATGCATTTTAAAATCATACTGTAATACCACTTTACACCATTAGGTGGCAGTCAGTTATCACAATCTAGCCTAGTAAAACACAAAAGGCACTACAATTTCAAGCAAAAGCAATTTCCTTTTTCAGTAGAAACTGTTTTGAAGATTATCTGAAAGTTTTAATTACAATGGCACTGGATTTAGAAGCCAAGGGTAAAAGTGCAATAACATCATCTCTGTGATTACGTTTTAGTGATCTGCTTGCCTCATTTGAAGCTATATATGCTGGAAAATGACTGTAGCCACACAACTCTAAATAAAAGGGAATTGTGTTATTCTGTATAATAGGGTTGAAACAGGCAGTTATTGCAAAGACCATCAAGAATCACACTTACTGCTGCACTGGGCTCGGGAGTAGGCTTGTTTGTGGCTGCCTGGACATTTAGCAGGCCACTCAGTTGCTCCATCTTCTGTTTCAACATATGTTCTTGGAAAGCAGCCTCCTCTTTGACCTTCGTGTATTTCTTTTCTTCTTCCTCTGTTAATGGATACACAAAAATTTAAAAAGTGTAATCTGCTTATATTTTCCCTTCCCTGACTTCTCCTTTTGCCCCCATTATTGTGCTAATACGTTTTTCCAATTCATCTTTTCCATTTTCATGACAAAGCTTATTTTAAGCCCAGTGATTTCATCACTGGATCTCTGTGCTTCTCTATGCAATACAGACAGATCATGGCTGGAGGGAGGGGCTGGGTGAGTGCTCTACAGTCCTAAAAAAACATAAGAGCACCCTGCCACTGTGTTCCTCTCAAGAGCCACTAGCCCTGATACAAGCAGTGGGCAGGTTAATGGGAGGAGTTATGCAAATAGCTAAATGCTTTGATGGGTGGATTCCACTCTGGGGAAGTGGGTGTTCCTAAGCATGATGCATTGACATGCAGACAACGCCTGCATGTCATACTGAGCCTTTATGACTGAAAGAACCGAATCTGAATTAATGAAAGGGGCAAGCCATCGGGAAGTAAGGGAGGTGGAGATGAAAACTTGACTGACCTCCGAGTTCTGAAAATGCACTGCATCACTTCAAAAGCCTCACACTAAACACTAGCAATTAAAGCTATGCTCCATCTTTCAGGCAAAAGCTAAAAATGCCAACGACCAGGTTGAGCAGAAATCACACATAAAATGTAGAACTATAGAAAAAACATTCTCCCCAACCTCCACCTCACCCTCCCCATTTTGGATAGGATATGGCAGGGTTATAACCCTGTCATCTTTTTTTTTTTTTTTACTTTTGCCATCCGTGTCTCACTGGGGAGATATACCTTCACTTCACTTCTTGTCCCATAGCAAAAAAAAAAAAAAACAGAAGGGCGAGGCAATCCCTACAAATAAAGGGGATCTCTTGGGTGTAACCCCTTCCCCCAAGTCACCAGAACTAGTGCCCCCATTGGAAGATTTCCTGTTCCTGTTATGGGGACAGCCAAAAATTTGGGATTGCTTTTTACTTTGAAAAAGATAAACAGGACAAATAGAGAGGGCGAATCTCCCTAACGGGGGCAGAGGTAGCAATAAAAACTGATAGGTGTTCTAATCCCTCCCCACTTTGTCCAAAATTAAAAAAAAACTTTAACCTTGGAAATGACCCGTGCGTCAAGATTCAGTGGTCAAGAGCTAAGAGGCGATTTATCTTCGCACCCGTCTGTCAACTTTTGTACGGAAGTGGAAAAAAGGAAACTGCAGATTACCCCACTGATGCATATTTTTGCGCTGTTCGGATTTCTTTCTGTAGATATTTGCTCTGAATTCCTCAAGGGACATCTCGGACTCTCCACAGGTTAGTTTGTCCTTACAGTACATGGAAACCTGCTTGATTTCTGAGGAAGATGCAACTGCTTTGGGGGTACTACAGCCGACTTGGAGATTGTCACCCATTTGTTACTAAAACATACAAGATATACACATTTTAAAATATTGATAGTGCACCAGTCTACTAATCAGAAACATCTACTTGTGGCTTGCTGAATTTACAGGGGTAGTCTCAAATACATGAATCATTTTGAGAATTTGTCTACCATTTTAAATGCTTAAAATAAAAAAAAGTCTAGTCACACACTCAATTAGATTTCCAATAAATCTGATCTCTTTGATAGGTTAACTGAATAAAGTGCAATTCCACTTTTGTAAATAAACACACACACTTATTTATCAGTGATCTATGCCAATTGCAAGGATTTAAACTACTATTTTTTCTGCTCTTCTTGCAGACCGATTCTGAGTAGGAAGGTCTGGTTCATTATCTGGTGAATCTCCATCAGTGTTCTGATGAGAAAAGCTGCAATGTCTGCATCCATTTACAAGTATTAAACCCTTGGGGATTATCTCACCAAAACTGAAATTCCTATTTCAGGGAGTACATAAAGTTCTTAGGGCAGAGAAAAATCAATGAGTCAATCAATCACATAAGCTGGACATTACATTTCTAGGGCGTTCCATATGCCTCCAGGTTGCCATATTGCATTACATTTTGCAGAACATGACAGCAGTTGCAGACTGAAAATTAAATGTAATTTTTTTTAACAACGTCTGTCAAATGTATATGCTAAATTTCATTTGCTATATATTTTTCCATGTAAGTGGGGTTATCTTTTAAGTTACTGATAAAATCTGGCTATTTACATACCTTCAAGAGCCTTCAAAATCTTCCAGCCATGTCTCAGTTTTAAGATGTTCCGACACTTCCTGAACGTAGCAACCCTTGCCCACCTCTTCCTACCTCCCGAGTATTGCTATTGACCAGTTTGCCACCACCTCCCAACCCTCCTCGCCCCATGACAGAGCCCCAATAAAGTGTTACTAAAGGCAGAATTTTTTCTAAATTAAAATAACAAACATGTTATACTCACCTACTCTGTACAGTGGTATTGCACAGAGCTGCTCAAATCCTCTCTTCTTGGGTTCCCCCCAGCCATCCTGACTCCTCCTCTTTATTTTGTGTCCCCATAGCAAACGGCTTGCTATGGGGACACAAAATAAAGAGAAGGAGCCAGGATGGCTGGGGGGAACCCAAGACGAAACACGCTGCATGCTCGCTCCTGACCTGTGTGTCTACAGAAGTTGTGCTCCATAGACAGATAGACAAAATTTTAGCCCCACCCACGCTTCCTCTTCACCGGATTTGATTGACAGCAGCAAAAGCCAATGGCTCCCACTGCTGTTCCGAGTCCCTGTGTGAAGAAGAAGGGAGGGGAGAAGAGATGCAACCATGCACAGCGCTGATCTCCTCTCCCCTCTCGTCCTCCTCACACAGGGAAGGGGGAGCACAGGAAAAGCAAGCAAGTGTTTTTTTTTTACATTAATGCAAGCAATGTGCATTAAGACTAAAAAAAAAATGTTTTTAGGTTTAGTATCACTTTAAGCCCCACTTACCATCTTTTCTCTTTCCATTAAGAGTAACTATCCTTGGTAACTGAAGGTACAGATGACAGGGGGTGGATTGCAGCTAGTGGGGTTTATAGTTAGGAAGTCAGGACTCTAGTTACAGAGAGGCACACAAGATGTTCTGCCTAAAAAAAGTAAGAGTGGTCCTGGGCAGGACTTTAAAAGGACTGGCAGGTTCTTGTGTTGTGCAAAGTGGAATTCCCCCAAGCTGATGGAAGGATTAATGGTCATTTGTCTAAAGGGATGATCTTAAAAAAAAAAACAAAAAAAAAAAAAAAAAAAAACACATTACTTTTTCAACAGCCAGCAGTCTTTTCCTGCACTCTCCGGACTGAAATGTGGCAGCACCTCCTGCATCTTCAAATACAATGGACCAGTGGTGACTGCTTCGTACAGGATGAAGTTAGCGAGAGGGATGGCTAACCTCTAGCTGGAGGCTGACAAGAGGAGTGACCTTGTGGGACCAGTAGTTACAACCGGAACGGACAGGGCGGAAGACTGCAGGACTGTTGAATTAGGCAAGCAAACCTCTGTAATAGACTATCCCTGATAGAAAAATGAGCATTACTGTCATTACTGCTGAGAAAGGAATGTGGGGGGAGTTGGTGTGTGGTCAGTTTTAAGTTCATTGACCCTTTCCAAGAGTTGGTTTTGAAACTGTCTCCACCCCCCTGGACACTCCAGTTTTCTGGAGGTCACAGGCTCTGCAATATATCAGCAACCACACTGTATACATATTCTTTAAAATGATTTTTATCCACCACAAATTAGCATAAAACTAGAAAAAAAAAATGTAGTCAAAGTGCATGTGAGGAATCTCCACTATGTTCCTCAAAAAAAAAAAAAAAAAAAAAAAAGAAAAGAAGAATGAAGGGTCCTTAAAAAGAAAGATCTTATTGTACATTGCAGCTCTTTTAAGTGTTATTTGAAAAGGGATTTCCACATCAGAAAGAAGAAATGAGGACAGCATACTTACACGCTGGGTTCATCCTTACTGGGAGGCACTTCAGAATGTTTCACAACTGGATTCTGAATTCCTTCAGAGTTCTAAACCAAATTTAAAAAAATATCAAACCGCTTAGCAGTGGTGAGAAAATTTACTTTAGTTTAAATGTAGCTCATCTTTTACCATGCATATCTAGATTGTTAGAAAAGTGAATAAATATACAAAAAAATAGAAACATTTCAGCAATAACTGCACGAAACCAAGTTTTTTTTCTGTGGTATTCCAACTTGTAGTTTAAAGCTCAAACAAGTATCACACACACACACACACGTTGGATCAGTGATCATTTAAAAAGGAAGCTAGTGAAAATGTAAAGTACTAATTTTATTCTGTAATGTGTTTAGGTTGTCAGGTTTCTGACAAAGGCTGATTCAAAGTGCAAGTTATTTAAAAATAAAAAAAAAGGGGTTTTGAAATTAACTTTTTTTGATAATACGACTGAAATATATATTTTTCTTTGCACAATATTTAATAATTTTTTTTTAAAGTTTGTGAGAAAGAAAAAATAGCCAAGTGGAGTGGAAAAAAAAAAGAAAGCAGTTAAGTAGGGCTAGTTAGGGATAACAAGTGTTAAAGACAATAAGGGAAATAAAAAAAAAAAAAAACAAAAACACAACCACCACACACATCTTGGCATAAGGTGTGCTTCTACAAATACTCTTCTCTCTGTTGGTCAGTGCTATAAAACCAGCTAATAGCAGCTCTGCTGGACAGATCAGGACCAAGCCATCCATCCCTTCCACTACTAAAGTAACATGTACCTGGTGTAAAATTGCCATTTCTTAGAGCTCTAAATCCACTCCCTACTTTATATTTATTTATACACAAAACACACACAAAATGCATACAGACCTAAGGCATTTTGAACACACACATAAAACACAGACCAGTACCTGACATTTAGCTAGTGATGAAGGCTCAGTAAATGATGTGGGTGTGATCTGATTCAAAACCTGTGAATCTCTCAGAGGCTGCACATGGCATTCTATTGGGGTGAAAGAAAGGTAACTGGTCAGATCATGTCAAACCACCTACAAAATAAGCAGTGTAAATATATTTGGAGATAGAGAATACATAGAGAACTGTGG